GAAAGGATGAGGAGAAGAATAGTGGGTGGATCAAGGTAACTGGAGATGTCGACTGACATTACATTTGAATAGTTGGAGATTATAGCTCTCAGGGAAACAGTAATTGGGAAGGGTGTTCCACAGGCAAGAGGTGTGAGGTATGAAGCGATTGGAGTAGAAGAGAAGGCTACATTTAAAAGTTTCTACAGTGTAAGGGTGAGAGCAGGATGCCAGCCTTGTAGGGCACTTGAATTCATGGAGTCTGGGAACCAGTGAAAGCAGCTCACCGGAGCAATTACCATGAAAGTAGAAAAGACAGAGAGAGGCAACGGCGCGTCTGTGAGAGAGTGACTGTAGACGAGATGCCAGATCAGGGCCAATTATATTACATATCTGTCTCTGGATCTTGTCAAGAACTCCAAGGTAAACAGAAGGTGCCCCAGACCATATATGGCAGCAATACTTCATGCAAGGGCGAATGGTTGATTTGTATATTTGAAGTATTGATTCCGGGGAGAAAAATTTCCTGGCGCGGCACAAAGAGCCAACTTTACTCGCAGTGGACGAAGCAATTGACTCAATGTATACCATAAATTCTGTAGGAATATAAATCCATCTGAAATTAAAGAATTACTTTGTATAAAAAGAATTAGTATGGATATCAAATAGTTATAAAAATTTGTTATTTGTGGGGAAGAAAAAATAAAAAAGCTGTAGTTGAAGTTAGAAGATAAAAATATGTAATTTTTCTTTTTTAACCCACCCCCCCAAGTAACATAATAATGCAGTAAGGAAGCAAGGAGTTACTGAGTGTCAGAGACTATGAGAAAAAAAAAACACTATTTAGGAAAGCAAACAATACCGAACAAGAATTAAGAAGACAGAAGATAATGATTAACATTGTATTTAAAGTTTTGAAGATCAAACTTGATTGGGAAGCAAGAAGAGTGAAAGAGAATTAAAAGATTTTAATGAGGGGAAAGGACAATAAAAGAACAAGAATTTAGAAAACAGACGATAAAGATTGTCATTGCATTTAAAGTTTTGAAGATCAATGTTCACTGGAAAGCATGGAGTTGAAAGAGAGTTCCACAAGAACGAGAAGTGCCTTAAAAGAAACATTTATCATAGAACTTACAATTAGATCCAGCCATTTCAACTGAGACCTAGCTGCCAATCTAGTACTATACTTAAATTCATAAAGTCTAGGTACCAAAGAGGAAAGCTCATCAGAACAATTACCAGGGAATTATTTATAAAAAATGTACAGGGAAGATACGTTGCATCATGGGAAAGTGACTGAAGCTGAGATGCCTGTTCAGAAACAATAGTAATGCTGTTTCTTCTTGGGATTTTATCAGGAATCTTTAAATATATAGCAAGAGTATCAGACTAGATGGGGTAAAAATATTCAAAGCATGGATGAATGGTAGACTTATGAATATGTAATATAGATGAATAATTACTTATTAGTGCACTTATTACTGTAAAGAATGTGCATAAAATATACCAAATAGTAGCTGTGACATTTGGATAAAAATAGTGATAATTTAGAAAAAGAAAACTGGAAAAAATATCCAAACAGGAGATAATATTAAATGTGAGAATATAGTTTTTTTTAATAATCATGAACCTGCAAAATGAAGAGATAAGATGCAAATTAACAAAAATAGTAAGAAAAGAGGTCAAGACTTTATATCCTATTTCCAACAATAAGATTTAAAGCATTATTAGTGTTAATAATAAAACAAATTTAATCCAAGAATAAGAATATGAGAACACAATCTGAAATAAGAATATATTAACACATTGTGAAATAAGAATATAAAAACACATTCTGAAATAAGAATATGAGAATACATTCTGAAATAAGAATATAAGAACACATTCTGAAATAAGATTACGAGAACACATTCTGAAATAAGAATATGAGAACACATTCTGAAATAAAAATATGAGAACACATTCTGAAATAAGAATATGATAACATAGTCTGAAATAAGCATATGAGAACACATCCTGAAATAAGAATATAATAACACATTCTGAAATAACCATATGAGAACACATCCTGAAATAAGGATATAAGAACACATACTGATATAAGAATATGAGAACACATTCTGAAATAAAAAATGAGAACACATTCTGAAATAAGAATATAACACATTCTGATATGTGAATATGAGAACACATCCCGAAATAAGAATATGATAATACATTCTGAAATAAGAATATAAGAACACATTCTGAAATAAGATTATGAGAACACATTCTGAAATAAGAATATGAGAACACATTCTGAAATAAGAATATGAGAACACATTCTGAAATAAAAATGTAATAACACATTCTGAAATAAGAATATGATAACATAGTCTGAAATAAGCATATGAGAACTGTTGTGTACGATACACCTAATTTACATAAGTGGAGTACCGACCATATAAATATGGGTTGGTACCGGAAGACGAAAATGAGATAGTAAGAAGAGATCCAATCGAGAGACTCTGCCCGACTGGGATTTAGTCAACCCATTATGCAGGAACAGTCTTCCCAAGAATATACCAAAACTAACTGTAAATATTGTGTACCTTTTCCTTGTTTCAATACATTTTGTTAACGTACATTTTGTGTTGTATTATTATTATTCCATGCTTATCCAAGTTTCAACAAGAACACATCCTGAAATAAGAATATAAGAACACATACTGATATAAGAATATGAGAACACATTCTGAAATAAAAATATGAGAACACATTCTAAAATAAGAATATAACACATTCTGATATAAGAATATGAGAACACATCCTGAAATAAGAATATGAGAACACATTCTGAAATAAAAATGTAATAACACATTCTGAAATAAGAATATAAGAACACATTCTGATATAAGAATATGAGAACACATCCTGAAATAAGAATATAAGAACACATTCTGAAATAAGCATATGAGAACACATTCTGAAATAAAAATATAAAATATAACACATTATGTTTAAGTAAAAATTGTAAATAATTGCTGGTAAATTTATTAATTCATTGGGTTAGATTGATTCACAGTAACATGTTTTTGCACAATATTAATAAAAATTTTTGAATAAATATTTTTTGAGTGTTCTTATTTGTACATTTATCTAATGGTAGAACAAAAGGTATATTATGGACACATAAGAGCCAACAACATTTCCATGGCCATTCTACAAGCTACCACCCTAGAAAAAGAAGAAGAGGCAGACAGAGGTAAAAAAAATGGGCTGAGTGGACTTAAAGCTCATTCAAAGAGACTCAGACATTGGCATGCAACAGAGATATTATGTGGCAGGAGCTGGTCAGGGGACCAACTGTGCAGTGACACCATGATGACACCATGATCACTAGGCATAAGGGTCTCTAATGTAATCAATCCTGACTTGGCATCTCAACATTTTCTCACTAGTCTTATATCATAAGGACCAACAATGTTTCCATGGCCATCTTACAAGCTACCACCCAAGGCAAAATCTTTACAAAATAAAATGCTGATCTTTGATTTCAAGCAGACATTTTTGTCTTATTTTGTGCACAGTCTTATTCAGAAAGGATTAAACAATAGAAACATTTTCTGTATAAAATTTTTAGTAACCATTATTTTAATTTTCTTGAATTTCATTGGTTGTTAAATATAAAATAAGCTTCAAGAAATTTCCATAACAAAACAATCAAATTTTGTGCAAAAATAGGCTCAACCGACTTAAAAAAACTTTCTCAAATTCATCCCTAATTTAAATGTTTCAAGAAATCCCATTGGATAAAAAATAAAAAATTCAATTTCATCCACGCATTTCTGAAAATTATTGGCAACATCTGGCAAACCTTCATTGAGCCAATTTAGTCATTAAGAAAACTATAAATAGAAACAATGAACAAGTTTCCGGCACATTGAGATTCTCTCACACAAGAGATTTACTCATGTGCAGAAAGATATTTGTACACGGAAAGGAGATACAATTCAGAGAGACACTAAGAAAACTTAATTCTTATACTGTATTTTGAAACAAACTTTCTTTATGAGAGATTGGGAGAATTTACACTACAAATTTTTCCATTCAATATCTTTCGTAGAAAAACCTTTTGTTTAATTTGAATTTAACCTTTATAGTAAAAGGCAGACAATTTTTACTTACTTTTGGCATTGAACATTTCTGAAGTAGTAAAGAACTTTTTCTCTTTAATATACTCTCAGACACATCATTACAAAACAAAAAATTGTAAAATTGTGTATATAAAATTTAATCTGTTGTTCCAAACATGTCCCTTTTTTTCTTAATTGAATATCGTTACCATTTGGCCATTTTTTTATAATTTGTGTTTGTAGATATTACATGTTTTATTTACAGCAAACTTTAAATATTCACGCAACTAGATCAACAACAATTTCATAATGGATCCTGTTTAAACATTTCCAATCAAACAAAATTACCGATAAGAGAAATACATTCATATTAACTCTTCTCTTTACAAAATAAAATGCTGATCTTTGATTTCAAGCAGAAATCTTTGTCTTATTTTGTGTGCAGTCTTATTCAGAAAGGATTAAACAATAGAAATTATTTCTGTATAAAGTTCATAATGGATCCAGATTAAACATTTCTCATCAAACAAAATTACCGATAAGAGAAATACATTCATATTAACTCTTATCTTTACAAAATAAGATGCTAAGAATTATTCAAGATTATCCATGTACAGCTTCGGTTAAAAAAAAAATTGATTCCTTTTTTATGACTTATCAACCTTGTGCAGGTTATTTAAAGCCAGAAAATGTTTTTAGATTGTAAGATTTTTTTTAGGTAATAATGGCTTAGTGATACAAGTCTTACTAATTAACCCATAACTGGGGGAGAAGAGGTAGATTCATACCTTTCCCAAAGGTATTTGTGTGTAAATAAATATAATGAACCCAATAGCAATTGGAACTCAGCTCTCCAGTTAACAATTCTGAGCCACTGTCCTTTACACCTCCTGGACAGCTATGCTTACACCACCTAGCATTCCTAAGCAGTCACCCTTGTAATTACTAACCAGACTCAAAATTGCTTAACTTTGGTGATCATACAGGAACTGGTGTTTCAACATGACATGGTCATAAGCTATTTAAAAAAGTGCTTATTTGGTTCAAAGAAATATCTATTCTTTTTAATATTATGGCTCTGACATAATAGCCATTTTGTATTTGGTACCATTGACCATAAGACCACAACTGGTCATGTCACTGTTGCTGCTGATGATGATAATTATAAGAAACTGGCAGCATGGCCCGGCATTGCCCGTGCTTGATTAAAAAATCGTACAACTCATACAGCAATCGCTATCACTTGACTTAAAATATTTTTGCCCTTCCTTGCCTTTAAAGGAGTGCCCTTTGCCGTGCTGATGTTGCTACATGCCTTACTTCTTGCCTATCTCACACTGCGAATTTTTTCTAAGCTCTATACTAAACATTAAATCTGTTACAAAAAAAGAACTAAACAAAATGAACACAAAACGATCAGCTTTAAAAAAGGACTCATAACTGGAAAAACCGAATGAAAAAAGAATGTTAACAACAAATACTTTTTCCCACCCAACCCACTTCTGCGGAATCACAATCAACATTGAGTTTAAGCAAGCGAATGAGCCAATTGGATTAAAGTGCCATGCAGATTTAAATTTTTCCCACTTGTGATGAATGCAGCTATCAATTTTTATGGCATGCTAGTTAACATTCGTGTCAGTCAGCTGTTGGTTCTCACACTGGCCAATAGAATCTTCCTACCTATTTGGGGCAGCCAGCTATAGGCTTTCACTCTGGCTAGTAGAAAATGGCTGCAAACTACATGAAAACTGCCATAGAAGCATGAAAAATCGATTATTTCTACTATTGATGGGAGTTGGAAAATGCAAAGTCAGTCTTGGACTTTCTGCTAAATTGGAGCATGTGCATGTAAATTTTGGTGCAAATCCATCGAAAACTGCTGCCGTGCATTCGTTACAAACACACACACACATCCTGTCCTTTATAGATAGAAATCATTGCCCTCATCATCATTGTCATCATCATCAGCAACAGTGCTAAAAAGTTCACAAAATGCCAGATAATGTGTTGCAATCCCTTCTTAATTGGGTTGTGAAATTTTCAGCATCCGCTTTACACATCATTTACAATCCTTGGGAAGTAAACTCTAGAGCTGTGAAAATTGATTACTGTATTTTCTGGCTTACAATATGTAATTTTCCTAAAAAATACCCTGAAAAATACATGTGGATCTTCCAAGATGAATGTAAGGCAATGTCTGGGCTCAAGTAAACTTGGACAATCACCTAATTGGCTTAAGTGATAGGGACATGGATTTGTATATTGTCATTACATTATAATGTTAGCTATCTAATTCAACCTTTTATATGATGTAACCTCAATACTTAGCTGTTACAAATATTTTCAAGATTATAAACCTTCCTGGAGCCGAGCCACAATCTTAAACATGTTCTGTTTATTAGCAGTGGAGGAAGCCTTTCTTGTACTTGTTTCGTTTGTCATTGCCATACAAACGGACGAGTGATTAATGTAAACAATACGTGGTGACAGTATGTGAGGGATGCATGGTGAATGTATTGTTGTATGAAAATGACTTTTTTTTCCTTAGAAATTTCTTTTCAATATTAGGGTGTGTCTTCCAATCCACAGCATCTTGTAAGCTGGAAAATATGGTAAATATGAATTTATAGGAAAGAATATCAATCATTTGTCTTTTATTTCTTATTCAATGCATATTTGGACACAAAAGTCAGTGACAATAAAAAAGTGGATATATTGTGAGAATTGGAAATGAAGAATATCATGTTGACATCCAAAACAACTTTAACTTAAATGGAATCTACTGAGAAAAAAATGTGTTTATAAACACAGACTTTAGCAACACTCTGTGTTTGGAGATATTTAGGGACAATTCCATGGGTTATCCATAAAGTCTGCACACATAGGCAAATATGCATATTTTCAAGAAATGAAATTTTCAATAACATTTTATTAAATTGGTATATTAACAAATAACATCTTCAAGATGGTTTCCATCATTTGTGATGCAAAGGTTGATGTGCTTTGCAAGATTTATATAAAATCAATGGAATAATTCCACATTGCCATCACTTTTAGTGCATTCACTCTTTATGTGTTCAATCAAGTGTGTTGCATCTGTGATTTTCATTGAGTAGAGCTTCTCTTTTAGCAGACCCCATTAAAAGATGTCAATTATTTGACAAAACCATTTTTTCTACATACAACATATGAAAGCACATGTAATACCCTGCCCTCATCAGCTGTCAACCAAGGGAGGTAATACAGTTTTGGTGGCTAAGGTGCCACCAGCAACTTTTGCCACTGGACAGTTATTGTTTGTATTCATTTTAATCTGTGGAAGTAAAAAAATATAGTTAATGATATTTTTTATGTGCCCAGACTTTAGCAACACTCTGTATTTTAAATTGCTGAAATTTGAATAAACTGTTACTGCATAATGCTACAATAAGCAACTGGTTGTTGAAAGGGTTTGATAAACAAAGAAAACTTTTTTTTAAACCAAGGAAGTCAACCAATGATTTTTCAGCAAAGCAATGCCTGTCATATTCTAGATTCCAATGGGCAAACAAGCATAAAACTTGGAATAGAATACACATTCCCAAGATGATTACTTGTTTTGCTTTATGCAGTAATTATTATCAGGTTAGTGATACTAACAGGTGATACTAATAGTGATACAAACAATGATACTAACAGATTTAAGATACTGAACAATTCTTTGAAGATTTCATTAAATCAAAACCAGAATCATTATTTTATAAGAGAATATACAATTTATTTGAAAGGCTGTGTAGAAAAAAAAAACAAAAACTTTCATGATTGAATAATGATGCTCAGAATTTATTAATTTATTACATCAGAGCAAACAGAATATTAAAAATAAGATGAAAATATAAATATAAAAATTCAGAAGAGTTACTATGACACTTTCCTGATAATTACAATTTTACAAATCCTGATAATTACAATTTTAACCACTTCAAGTGTAAGATCATCCATTATCTATCCTATATATCTCCATAATATACATCTTACTTACTTCTTTTATGTCCTTATAACAACATTATTCAGCAATCCTCTACCTTGAGTGGTTCTTGAGCTTTGTATTGTGTATTTCATCTAGTTTCTTTTTTTTAACAATAAAAAATATAAGCAAAAAGAAAAATAAACTAAATGAAATTAGTTAGACTGTATATCCAAACATATATGAAAAAAAAAATTAATTTAAAAGTTTAAAATTTCAATGTCCCCTCTCCTTTGTCGCATGTGTAGTTAGATCAACATAAACATCACTTTAGTCTGTTGAAGTCTGACAAGATATATGCATCACATAAAAAGCTTTTTCCACTTTGTCATTAATTTTTTTTGTAATATATATATATATATATATATATATATTATGAAATATGGACAAAAGCCTGACAATTATTTAAAAGCCATTTTTATTTTATATTCTTTTATAGATAAAATATTTAAGTAAATGCTCTGTTTATAATAAACATTATTAAACAACATTTACCGTACAGAATGTCCACAGGGTACTTCATAGAAAATATTCGTCCTTAAAATAATTGTCAGACTTTTTTGTCCATTTCATGATAATGGCATCATTTGTTTACATTTGGATACGCATTGAGCAGATATGAATGTACATGAGAGATTCATGGAAGATTGAAGTTTAAAGACAGTAAATTCGACCTTGCTAACCGAACAATCCTCTGTGACCAAATCGATTAAAGGCACGTCAAGCTAAATGACAGTTCCATATAGGATACAGGTTTGATTCCTGCCAGAGGATGAATATTTTCTATGAAAATTTCTTGAACATTCAGGCCAGTAAATGTTTTAATACTGTTTATTATAAAACAGAGCATTTACTTAAATATTTTTATCCATAAAAAAGAATGTATAAACATAAAAATGTTGTATTATATATATAAAATGAAAATAAAAAAAATATATATATATAAAAATGTCATATATATATATATATATATATATATATATATATATATATATATATATATATATATATGTGTGTGTGTGGCTTTCATTAAAGATGACTAACAAAAGGTACTATGACTAAGCTTTTTTATTTAATTTTTCTTGTGTTCATATAAGCGTTTTTCATCTCTGGACACAAAATGTGTAAAAATTGTCCAAATGTTCTGCATATCTGAGTGAATTTGGCTATTCTTTTAGCCATTAGTAAGGGCAATTTTATGAAGTCCACACCCAGCAGAAACAAAGTCTGTTTCATGTTTATATGCAATCATCAAGCATAAGAATTAAAAAGTTCTACATACTGAAGAGACATAGCATATAGAAGAGTAAGAACAATTTTGTGTAAATAGTTGGCAGAACAGAGATTAGGGGAGATAGCAAAAAGAGAAACTTTACTAAGAGCTACAAAGGCCAGGAACTTGTGGAGAGCCATGATCGCTCATGTCCTAAGTGGATATACCAAATAGAAGAAGAAGAAGAAGAAGAAAAAGCATGTAAATAGTTGGAAGAATATAGATTAGGACAGATAGCAAAAAGACAAACCTTACTAAGAACTACAAAGATCAGGGAGTTGTGGAGATCCATGATTGCTCATGTCCTAAATGGACATGCCACATAGAGGAAGGAGAAAAAGAAAAAGCTTGTGTAAATGGTTGGCAGATTATAGATTAGGAAAGATAGCAAAAAGACAAACCTTACTAAGAGCTACAAAGGTCAGGAAATTGTGGAGAGCCATAATTGCTCATGTCCTAAATGGACATACCACATAAAAGAAGAAGCTTGTGTATCCTGTTGAGTTTGACAAAAAAAAAAATTGAAAATAGCTCAAAATCTAAGATCTGGATCAGGCCTTCATCAATGGCTATCATATATTGGAAGTTTCTTGTCTCACACCTCTTACTTGTGGAACTCTTTTCAGCTTCTTGCTTTCAACTTTGATCTTTGAAAACTTAAATTCAATATCAATTGCTATTTTCACTTTTCAATTCCTCTCCTTTTATAGTTCTCTCCCCTTAGTGCTTTTCTT